ATGCAAGCTGGATTCAGAAACAGACATGGAATAAGGGATATCACTGCTGATGTCAGATGAATCTTGGGTCAAAGCAAAGAATACCAAGTAATTCTCTCCTTTTAGAGAACTATATACTTCTCCTTCCTTTATACTAGTAAAGAATGAAACTAGGACTCATGGACATCATATATTTCCTAAGCACTTGATACCTGAAGAATGTAGATCAATGAGCCTGGGAAAGCTCCAAGTAACCAGAGATAGATAAGACAGACACAGATACTTGTCATATTTTCATTTTTTTATTTATAAAGTACTCCTATGTGTCAATTTGTGATAGGCACTGAAGATACAATGCTGAATGAGACAGTCCACTTGGATTCCTGTCAGTGAAATATGGTATTCGTACCTCCCAACTTTCCCAATGATGAGATTCCTATCACTGGTGATTCATGATTTTTATATTCTTTCACCCTCTCTAGGGTTAAGCACCATATAATGACTTTATTCAGACAGGGGGGATGGGACAAGCTTCCCTTTCCCTGTGGAGTTTCTGGTGTCTAAGAAGGCTTGATCGCCTGCTGAAGTTTCTCTTGCATGTGCTACAAGTATAGGGTTGCTCACCTGTGTGGGTTCTCTGGTGTTTAATAAGATGAGAATTCTGACTGAATCTTTTTCCACACTCATGACACTTAAATGGTTTCTCTCCTGTGTGGATTCGTTGGTGTGTGTGGAGATTTGTGTTATGACTGAAGCTTTTCCCACACCATGTACATTTATGTGGTTTTATTCCTTGGTGTGTCATTAGGTGCTTGTTAAGATCTGAACTCCATCTAAACCTCTTATCACATTGCTGACACTTATAGGGCTTCTCTTCAGTATGAATTCTCTGGTGCTTAATGAGGTCAGAGCTCACTCTGAAGCTTTTTCCACACTCCTGACATTTAAAAGGTTTCTCCCCTGAGTAGATTTTCCTGTGAAGATTCATACATTTTGGCAGCTCTTGTTTACACGTTGAATGTTTCTTTCTTTTCTTCCCTGGAAAATTTTGATGCCGTTTCCTCATCCTGTGTGTTCCACCATTACTTTCTGTGCCTGTTGTTTTCACTCTGGCCTTTTTTGATACTTTGCCTCCTGATGCTTGTATTTGTTCCTCAGGAGATACAGGTTGATCATTTCCAATGTCATTTTTGAGCTTTAATCCTATAAAAATAAACAGAAGAATCAGTCATATATATCCCAGAGTAAGAAAACCACAGGAATGGAGAGAATGTTCAATGATGATTGATTTTTAAAATTACAGGAACAAAAGATTTCTGGTCTGTTCTGGACAAAGCTG